CCGATCCGCATCTCGGTGTTCACCCAGGACCTCGACGACAGCTCCCGCTACTGCACACAGCCTGGGGAGATGAGACCTGACTTCACTGGCTCCATGGTTAAGTGCAATTCTGATGACGTTTTCACTGATGAAAAGAAACAACTACTACGCGAGCAGATAATCCCCAACGCGGTACGGATGCACAGAGACCGCCTGCTGGTGCAACCACTCAGAGACAACATCCGTGTTGAACACTTCACTGGGAGTCTTTGCTCTCTGTTTACGATTCCCCAGTCCCACCACACCACCGGTGTACCGGATACCGACTTTGTGCTGTACGTAGCGGCTGGACCAACTGTAACTGGTGTTGCAGCATGGGCAATTACGTGCCAGAATGACCCCAGCGGCCGCCCCTTGGTGGGTGTTTCTGATGTTGGGCCTTCGGATATTTTGGGAGTCGATTTTCCCACACGTATTCTGACGCACGAAATACTTCACGCGTTGGGATTTGAAATTGATACATTTAAGAATAGAAACATGGTTGATACTGTGTCTGTTCGCAATAAGCCAGCAAGTTATGTTCTGAAGTCGCCCAAAGTGGTGGAAGTTGCGAGGGCTCATTACGGGTGCAGTACCATGCAGTTCATGGAGTTGGAGGATATGGGTGGTACTGAGTTTGTCGGCTCACACTGGAAGATGCGCAACGCAAAGGATGAGTTGATGGCTCCTGCTTCTGCTTCATCTTTCTACACCGCCATCACCATCGCGGCGATGGAGGACACTGGCTACTACAAAGGCAACTACGGCAATGCTGAAAGCATGGCATGGGGTAAGAATGCCGGCTGTGTGCTGTTTGATGAGAAGTGCGTTATTAACGGTGTGTCGCAGGTGCCGGAGATGTTTTGTGACGGGGTAAGTACTTCAATAAGTGTGTATAATTGTACATCAGACCGGATGGGCATTGGTGACTGTGGAATATATTTTTATGCTAACTTGCCATCATATTTGCAGTACTTTTCTAGATCTGCACTTGGTGGGTCTGATATATCAATGGATTACTGTCCAATCATAATACCAGATTCAAACACTATGTGTTTAAATGGAGATGCAAAAATGCTGCCCGGTTCTGTGTTTTCAGAATCTGCGCGATGTTTTTCAGCTGTCCTGAGCACTTCTCTCCAGATACGTGATGACAAAACTATGCTTTCTATCTGCGTAGACGTGCAGTGTGACAAGATAACCTCTAAGTACCGAGTGCGCGTGAAGGGCGCCAGTGATTTCGTGGACTGCCCACCCGGAAGTACCCTTGTGCTCTCGGACTACAGTACAGAATTTAGGTCTGGCGCAATCAAGTGTGCACTATACGAGGCTATATGCCCCGAAAACCATTATCATGGTGTAAACAGTGACGAAAGTACTGGAAAAAAAAATAAAGTAAATACTGATAGAAACAAAGTCGGAAGCACCGACAAAAAGAATCATGAAACACCTGACG